AATCATCTTTTACTTATAGGTGTTGCAAAAATTACGCATACTATTCAGGAGAGGTGGGGAAGGTTTCATCATATGGAATAAACCCATGACTTAGGAGCTTCTTGGCTCCAGTATCTTCAGGTCTGTGATGAACAAACTTCAAATATCAACATGTCATACTTAGGAACTCCAAAAAACTTGGAGAGTATACTTATGTCCTTACAACAAAGTTAAATAAGCCTTATTCCAAGGCACAGGACAACAAGTCTGATGTCATACCTGATCCTGCAAGTTGCCATTGTCAGTGCATTAAAAATAATCTGTTGTTTATCTTAGTGATATTACATTTTCCCTTGTAGAGCACAGTTGAATTAATGGGGAGTAGTAATGGAAAGGGTAGCAATGGCCCTATGTGGCATTGCTGCTATTCTTTTTCCCTTTAAAAAGTCAGACTTTATACACTTGCTATGTAGCAAAGCCTGTGGGCAGGTATTCCTGAACCAAATTGACTTCAGAGTTGGACTCCAAAAACGCTTAGAATTTCAGTGTCTTGTTTTCCTACATTATTACTGCTGTGCTGCATAACCTTCTCCCACAAAATAGATCAGTGTGCCAATGACTTGCTTTTGCAATCCTCTATACTTTTAAAAATCACCAGGTGGCAAAATATAGACAATACGGGACCCATCGAGCCTAAACTGGGTCGGTCTGATTTAATTCAATCCAAAACCTGTTTAAATTCCCTTTATAGACTAGACCTTGAAATTCACAATCTTTGGGGATGCACCTTTCAGAAAACAGAACAAACAGCCATAGTGCTGCTTCCCCATTAGGGTATTTAGCCCTAGAAATTGCTTTTGGCTAACCAACCAGAAATGCAATTAGTCAAAGCAGAGTTCATGTGGCTGTTGATGATAGTATAATCTAGCAATGTCCCTCTCAGGGACCATAATCCTTCCAAAAATAAGTGTGCAACTCAGTACTTTAGACTCTGGATTTAAGGTCCACAGGGCTTGCCACTGCTGTATGTCTTATCAGGAATAAGCAACATTTTGTGGCTGGAAAAAAAATATTTTAAAGCAAAAATATAAAATAAGCACCAATATTGGCCCACCCCCAACCTATGGATTCACAAATAATAAAACGATCATTTAAAATTATGCCCTATTGCCACCCATAAACTATGTCTCTTTTATAATTTTTGAAAGAATATGTGATGAGCACAGCAGCAGTCTTTTTGCAATGTTAGCATCCTGTAATAAGAGGGCATTCTATTTCACAGATATTAAACTACAGCATCATTTTTTAAAATCACAATGCTGAATAGTATTATATTCTCTCTCTCTCTCTCTCTCTCTCTCTCATACACACAGACACACACACACAAGCTGATGTAAGGCTATCACTTTTAATAACACATAGTACCTATAAAAGCCTTAATAATACATTAATTACATTTCTAAGCTACCTTACTCTAGAAGACAAATCTGTAAAAGATTTATCTTCCTCATCTTCCTTACAAATGGCTATAAATATGCCAAGGTAATTAAAAAAAAACTTGATTGAAGGTTTTCTACTTACAGTCTACCTTTGGTACATAGTGCAAGAATAATTTCCCAGTTGTACATATCTTAAACTATTAATTATATGGCTTTACACTGATTAACAGATTAATAAATTTAAAAGTACACAATTTTGCATATGGATAAATGATGATTTGAAGAGAAGAAAGCCTATTTTCAATAATGCACACCTTATGTAATTTAGGATTGAAATGTTTGTGTTCTTGGTATTCTCTGAATTTGGTGGTTGTCCTGCAGAGGTTTGGTTACCAGGCTAGATAACATCATTAGCATAAGGACTGCAGGAAAACATCCAAGCTCAGGGGCTACTAAGAACCTCAAGGCCCATTTTCTTCATTTTTGGTTGCTTTCTATATCACCACATTAAGGCTGTGAGAAATATGGCATCTCTACCTGATTGGAGAGAAGGAGCAATTTATCTCCTAAGATGGCTGCTCCCACTTACAGATTTTTATAAATTCAGACATTCAAACTAACTACATCAGCAGGGATCCAAAACTCTTAGTCTATAACTAAAAATAAACTTCTGTCTGAAGTGGAGAAACTTTTATTCTTTCTTCCAGTGGACCCCACACTTTTCCAAATGATGCTCTGAAAATACAAGAGGCCAGGGAAGAAAAAAGGTAGCCAATAGAGTATGGTCCAGTAGAAAAGAACTCTATTTATATACCATTGGATCGAAGTTATTTTTTTAAAGTCCTATTAAGTGGAAATGCCTTTTAAAATACGTTAAAAGGCCTTTAATTCATTTTTTTCTAATTGAATAGCCAACTAAACACTCCACTTCTAGAACTTATCAATGCAAAGGACATGCATGATATATTCAGCAAAATGGCACTAGTGTTTGAACAAAACCCCACGATTTAACTTCATGATATAACCCTACATAGAAGAGATTAATCTTAAAACTAATCACCACCACAGTTACTTCCAGGACTTCAACAGAGTTACTAACTACTGAACATTATGAGCTGCATATACTGTAATTGGAATCCGTTTCTATTTTCATCTCTAATAATTATGAAGATGAGAGAAAAAACTCTGTTTGCATCCTTGCAGTTGAACTACCATTAAATCCCCAAAGATCTTGTAATTCAAGAATTCAAAAAGCCCCTTTAGAAATTAGAATGGTTTGCAGAAGGGAGTGTGGGATGGCCTAGTGCAAGATCTTATTTGACCTGATCAATATATAGGGAAATCTGTATTGTCAGATAGCAATGAATAAGCTGCTACTGTATGAGAAAGGCATTATGCCACAGGTCAATTGGAATCTCCATCATTATCAACTTCATGTGCCTGCACAGAAGTATTACTTTCCACAACATGCTGTGAGATGAATGCTGTGAGAAAATGAGAACTCTGAAAATCTTAACTTCAGCTCAAAGGGACTTACAAAAGTAGTAATATTGTTCTGTTTTTCATGTTAATGAAATCTAAATGTAGAATAAAGGTAGTCCTACAATGGGGACTGCAAAATTCATTAAATGGCACTGTCATTAAGTGAAACATCATGTGACTGTATCCAATTTTATAACTATTTTTGCTGTGGATAACAATAGCACTTAGACTTATGTATTGCTTCACAGTGCTTTACAGCCCTCTCTAAGCAGTTTACAGAATCAGCATATTGCCCTCAACAATCTGGGTCCTCATTTTACTGACCTCAGAAGGATGGAAGGCTAAGTCAACCTTCTAGCCAGTGAGAATTGAACTGCCGAACAGGTGGCAGCTGGCAGTCAACAGATGTAGCCTACAATACAGCATTCTAACCACTGTGCAACCATGGCTCTTGATGACCATCCTGCTGACTTCCCCATTAATTTTGCTTGTCAGAAGATGGGGAGTTTGCAAACGATGATCACGCCTGAATCAGGGTCACATGACCACAGAGATGTTGCAATGGTCCTAAGTGGATCAGTCATAAATCACTTCTTTTAGAGCTGTTGTAACTTCGAACAGTTGCTAATTGAATGGTTGTAAATCAAGGACTACCTGTAAATCCGATATATACTGTATATATTGTCCTTTTTTAGGAAACATTCTGTACCTCTCTTCCATATGCAAAGAATCAGTACAAATTCTACAAAGCACAGTTGAAAATCCAAAAAATATTCCTGAGCAATCAAGCTCCTCAGTCTTTCTCCCACCCCCACTTCTGTTTTGATTATGGTTTAAGATTACAAATGCATTGAGGTTAATTAGGCTTCACTGACTATTTAATCTAACCTATGATTACTGCCAGAGTGCTGCTAAACACTGATTTAAGTAGGCAGAGAAAGGAAGAAGGTTGTTGCATTGTAGGAGGAGAGAGAGGAGGACAGGGGAGTCAAATCTTAAACTTGGATCCTAGTTTCTAAACCATGGTAAGCAGGGAGGCATCACTATATCTGTTTCTGTCTAATGATGCAATAGTGTCACTAAATTTAATTGTTCTGACATAATTATATGCTTAGGCACAAATCCCCTGTTTAATGTAAAAAGATCTATTTCTTTGACTGAATTTCCTGGCCTCAGAAACAAACACACAAAGTTCGAACAAAAAGGCAGATACTGTCTCATGTATCTGTTTCCAGGAACCTAAGGAAGTTGTGTCCAACAGCCCATAGACGATTCCAAAATAAGTATATAGTAAAGAAAAAAAGAGATAAATAAAGCTATGGGTCTTAATTGGCTATAGCTATGTTATCTTTCTTCCTGCAATTGCTGCAGGATTAAATATCTGAAGACACACTATTTTAGTACTATGGTTGCTCTATGGTTGCTCTAATTATGCACTAGCCCTGCTCTTAAAAACCAATACTATAAGTTGCATCAGTTGGCTCCTGTATATGCTTTGAAATTATCTTAACGATATTCTACAGTTAGGTCAGTTATTCATCCCAACAACCACCAATCCATGATTTTTCCTTACGTCCAATGCTATGCAAGGAATTTCAAAACATAACTTACTAAATAAGTCATTGTGGATTATTTTGTTCATAACACTAAATCATAATAGGGTGTGTATATAAAACAAAGAAAGCACATTATGGTTTGGTATAATCACGTTCTGATTGTAAAAATAATTGTGGAATCTAAGAGAAATCTTGCTGAATCATAGACCATGCTTTCTTTGTCAAGCAGAATCTATTTCTCCTTGACGCGACCTTATTAGAACCCTTGTATGTCTTTCCCATTATGTTTCATTCATGACCTAATCAGGTTATTTTAAGAAAAGATCAGAGAATAATCAGAGCTTTTAGAATAAGAATAAATACTACAACACTTCTTCATGAGGTACTGGAGACCATTACAATGAACAAATACATTGAAATGGTTTGTTTGTTATTAATGTATCATTGCTTCTAATGTATAAATATTTCAACATCCTTTGGTGTTTACAGTGCTTGAAAAGAAACTCAATGATAAAATTGATAAAAGGTTTTTTTTGTTTTAAATGAAGTAAATACAAAATGTGATAAATATTTAGTGTGAGCAAGAAGGCCATTTTTCTTGTCATTAATACCACTCTAAGTAGAAGCTTTTGTTTCAAAAAGCTTCAATACTTTGGACAGCTGAGCTCCTTGGTTAATTTGTATGCTATTTTTGTAAAGAGATATTACCAACTATGTGGTAAGTGATAATGCCTGCTATGAATCATAGCTGAAATTAAAAACTAAAATTCTTGGTAACAAATTCCATAAATGTCATCTCATTTCTGGGTCTTTTCTTGGTTACTACAACAGGAATTCCTAAAAATTCTGATGAAGGTAGGGATGAATTTATTCAGCTACCCACCAATAAATTAAAGAAATGTAAATACATTTTTGCAACCTGAAATTTGGAAAGGACACAATTGAACTTCCCTGATCCAATTGCCTAAAATTTAAGTATTTTTAAAGAGGAGTGGAGGAGATCTCTTCCACCACACATACACAATAACATCTCACATGAGAGAGCCACGTGAATCTTCCCACTCAATAAGGATCAATGTTTTCACAAAGAGTCTTCATTTTTTTGAGGAGCCCTTCTATAGGGATTATCTTATGATCAGGGATAATTGGGTCTTACACATTCCATTTGAAGAGATTCTACAAATTCAGTAAATATTGTATATGAAGCTAATGCTTGAACTTCAGTTCACTAGTTTTGTTTTTGTCAAAAATAACTTTGAGTGGAAAACGATGCATGAATGAAGTAGGAAAAACATTATAAACTGTACCCTTGCTGTCAAAAAAGACTTCAGAGTCAGCTGCCATCTTGACATGAGGTTGCAATTCTTGTCACTGTACCATTAAGAGAGAGGGGCATGGTTAACAAGCTGGCCCCTCAAATCATGATCATCAAAAAAAAGATTAAATGTTCACTTCCTCAAACACATTAAGTGGGTGTTGGATAGTGTTTTTAGGAATATTCAAATCACTCTAGTTTAAAGAACCACTCAGCTTGCTCCAAACATATCTTTTTCTGATTCTGGAGATTGGGGTCTTGATATCTCATATAGCTCCTGTGGTGTCTGAGAACTTCTTCGAGAGGCTAATATCCTTAATATATCAGCAAGCTGTTTTTCTATATTGGTCATTTTTGTATTTAAAGCTTTGATGTCCTCCTTCAATTCATGTTTCACTTCCAGCATAGTTGCCTGGAGAGTCTGTTCAGGGATAGGGTAGAAAGAGTGTTTGACTTCTGCAAGGATGGGACTTCGATCCTGAGGACTTCGTGTTTCCCCCACATTGTCCAAGCGCAGGTCACTTTTTGTGATGCCACTGTCACAAGAGTCTGTCTTCTTCAAAGTAGCTTCACCTGTTGCTTTTGTTCTTTCTGGCAATGTTTCCATGGATTCAGCTTTGGAAACCTTGTTCCAGTCCTCTCCCTTGGCACAAGCATCTTTGAATTTTGCCCAGCCTTTACGCTTTGGAAAATCTCCTGCTACTTTCCCACCAACGTAGTCTGAAACTGGAGCTTGTAGTTTCGCCTGATCAGATATACCGATACCTGATGTTGAAGCAGACTGATAGGCAACTGGAGTTGCAGGGCTTTCCCTTACAGTGACAATGCTGGCTTTGACAACTGTGTGGGAAGTGTGATCTCCTAAAATGTTGCCCCTTTCAACATCAAGATCTTCTCTGCCTCCTCTTTCTGCAGCTAGTCGGGCTTCCTTCTGCTGCCGAAATCTTTGGAAAAGCCGACGGACTGGATGGTCAGGTGGCAAGACCAAAGGGGCTTCATTCTTCCTTTTCATTCTCTCTTCTTCTTCTCGTTTTACATCACTGATCTTCCGGAATACAATCTGTAAGGGGGAAAAACATGACAAAATAGGATATCCATTCCTGCATTTTGAACTTATACATATGAGTGCCATATCATAGATTATTTATATTGAGTTCAAAATATGTTTTCCTATTATTTAAAAATACGTATGGATTACATCCAACACAATAGGCCAATATGTATACAGAATATGTTTTAAAAAAAAACATTGCTGTGGGCACTGGAGTACATGAATTTACATCAATGCTAGCACTAGGTGATCAAATGAAAATTCATATCTCAAATAGTTATAGAAAATGTATTTATCACCAGATTACCAAGATTATGGGTGTTTTAGTTTGCCTCAGAAAATAACCCAACACATAAAAAGTTACTACTGTAGACAATCATTTAATATTAATTCTTATTGGTCGTATATTTTCATGATCCAGGAGATCTTATTTCATAACAGATTTGAAAAAAATTGAGGGCTCCTAGAATTTTGCTATATTTTTTTATTTGAGATATTCCTTCTATACAGTATGTCATAGAGCCGAAACAACCAGTGGTCTTTAAGTTTAAACAAAAAACAAGAAGCTATTCACTTCTTAGACTCCAATCCAGGGCTTTCATAATACAATTGCAATTCTTTACTCATTTTGTTCTTACCCATTTCAAAATACATGACAAATTTCCTATTTTCATCATGTGGACCTAGTTCTGTGGCTTTAAAAATATTTCTTGCCCAAGGCAATACTGTTCCATCCATTAATATTGCACTTGACTACACAAAGTAATATTTTGAGAGAAAATTCTTTGCCTTTGTAATGAGAAGTTAATTGGTACTTCTGAGAGGATGAGACAAAATATTTTTAGCTAACATTAAGTAATGTTTTATTAATTAAAACATTACTTACTAGTACTACTATTGTGTCACCACTTCATCCAAATCACATACTCAAAGAAAAACATGTTTCTGTTTCATAAGCAATGGATTAATCCTGGAACTTTTTATCAGAAAGCATACATAATGGAAGTAACTTAGAAGAAAAGAGGTAACTAGTTTAGATTTTAAAAAGGTAAGTCTTCTTCAGAAAGAAACTGGCTTAGCAACCAACAGACAGTTTTATTAAGAGACAATTTTCATGTAATATGAAATCCTCAGTTGGCTAACTTGTTTGTGTGCATACAGCTTGGTAATCATATGATGATGGAATTTTAAAGTTTTCCTCTGCAAGAAGTTTAAAATAAGCAAGTTTAAAATAAATTAAGCAAAGATATTCTACAATAACAATTGGATGTCTGAGCATTGTTGAGTGAAATGGCTTTATTCAATGCTTGTGGGATATGAAACTTTCCTCTCGATTCCAATCCAAACTGATAGAATCAAACTTCTTGAGAAATTGGTCTGCCTCCCTCTCTTCAAATTCAGGATAATAGAGTTTTTTTTAAAAAAGTAGAACCAATGTAATGAAATTGTTAAGTTTTAAGTCCAAATCATCAATCATCCATCAGTATCTTCCTGGACACTCTGAAGTTCCCTGAAAAGTGGAAGAAAACTGAAATGGAAAAAGAAGAGGACAGGAATGCTGGAATAAAACGTTTTTCTATGGAAATGCATTAATGGAATTTAGTGTCATATGACACTGTGATTATTTATAATTTTCTTGTACTGAGAGTTGCTAAAATGCCACATGACTTCAGGCTAAACAAAAACAAAAGAACAACACCACCCCCCCAAAAATAATCCTGCCCAGATGAAGGTCTTGAGTAGAAAAACATAGCTGGAAGTTAAAGGGCTTAAATAGTCATCAAAGGCATATAACAGAAAATGTTTAAAAGGGGGTAAATGATTATATAAGATATATTTAGATTCTAGTGGACCAATTAGATAAAATGGCATATAGAAATAAAGGCAGGAGTGGATCGCAAAAAAAACAAAACCCCTAAAACATTTGGAACAAATAGTCAATAACTTATTTTCAGGGTTTGTGGTAGAGAGAAACCTACAACCTCCTGGGTATAATCATATGAACAGAGACTTTTATTTCTGCTACCTTTCTCCTACATACACTGAATCCTAGAACTCCTGAGGGTGAATGAACAAATGCAGTTCTCTTATTTTCTATAGAAGCTCTGGTGGTTAATATCAAACCTGGGAGCCAAGCATGTTAACAACAGCCTTATTCAATTTTAAGAGCCCAGCCTGACAGCTTTTAGATTTATAGAGGGTTTCCAATCCAGAATCCAGAGACTACAGTCTTATAACGGCATATTTATTATGATATTTTGCATTCATTACAATTGTTTTGTATACTCATGCACCCTCAAAAGCATACATGCACAGAAGTTCAATGGTGAAATATCATTAAAATGTTTACGTTGTAGGTTATTGTCTACATTACAACTATTTTTAACAGAAGATTCTAGACTGAAACTGTGGCATGTTTTAAAATCTCAAAATTAAAATGTGTTGAGCGAAAAAATATAAAGATTTGTAAGTTCAGTTGTAGCCTCCATGAGCCCTCCCCCTCTAACCACCCACTCCCCAAATTTCCTCAGGGGGATATCATTTAGCTTGCAGCTACTCTCTGACACTTTCACTTGGCACAAGCATCACATTGTAGCAAAGACTGAAGCTATTATGTGGTTAGAAATAGCTACACGGCATGCATTATTTATACCTTTCACTTTAAATGCACTAATGCATTGCCTCTAACCCCTCAGACTCCTCAAACATTTGGCATATAATGGACCGTGGGTGAGGCAGCTTGAAAAGAAGCTGTTGAACACCTGGTCCCCTAGGATGAAAACATTTGGGAGTGTACCTAAGTGTGATTACCTGATGCACTTAAGATCAGTCTAGCTGAGAAGTACATTCATCTAATCTAATTTCACAAATCTTTACTGAATCAACTCAGCAACCATGTTTTATTTGTTTCCCATTTTAGCCATATTTCCAAACCAAGTACATGTCACAACTGTGATGAATAGTTTTCAAACAGCCTCCCTAATATCCCTGACAATAGTTTATGTTCAAATTCTGTCATACTTTCTTGACTTGACTTTGATAGTACTGTCTGTCCTCACTTTTTAATCCAGCTCAATGATTGTACCCACAGCTGTCTCTTCCAAGCCAAGCCAAGGAACTCACGCACCCCACTCATGCAATTCATACTTGCACCAGCTTCCAACCACCCTTGCCCCTCACAATCACAGCCAACAACCTCCCAGACTTGCTTCAAGAGATTGAGCAGTCTGTATGGTTTTTGGAGGTTTTAGCAAGTTCCACCAAATATAACCACCATTCCTCATTCACTCTGGTGTCATCCACTTTCAGTGAGTTAAAAATCCAGATGGTTGGCAGACTGACAAAACCAGGTCCAAATTCAACACAACAGTGCCAACCAAGGCCAAAGTATGGAGAGCAACAAGCCACAGCAGCTGTCAAAGTGGTAAAAGTGAGCAAGCTCTGATCTGATATTGTCTTTGTTCCTTTTACCTCCCTCCTTTGCCACTCAATACATCACCTTTATTTCCTTGTTTGGCAAAAAGTATCTCAGTTGTTAAGAAATAGTCGTCAGCCACTACACCCAAAACTCCACACTTGTCCAGGATAACTGAAGTGGAGGGGAGAATTCACACCAGGTTACAAGCCTCACTGCATCCGGGTATAAAGGAAAACATGATATGCTGAGCTGGAGACTTCTTTACATTACATCAGTCTTCATACTGACTTGCACAATTGCTGCTTGATCCCACATCAATGCTTGATCTCCACCATCTCCACCACAGCGCACTAAGAATGGGGTTGCAACCAAAGCCACAAGGATTGCAGGCCTTCCAAATGATTAGTAAATGCCATTCTGGCAATTCCCAAACCTCCCATTCACTACATAACCAGCCAAACAATTCTGAGTCCCACATAGTAGGCATAAATGTTTAGACACCATTTTTCTATGCTTAATATCCATGAGTAAACCATAAGAGTTACTGAAATAAGCAGACACTTTTAATAAAGCTTATGGACGAAGTATGTGAAAGACTAAACAAGACCAGCCATGGTTTTAATTAATGGTAATGATGATATCTTGAATTTTGAGAAGACTCTGGAGATAATATAAATTAAAGCATAACAAACAAATCTTGATATTCAAATTGATTCCTAGTCCCAAAGAGTAAAATGATACCCTTTATGCAGGTACTTCTTATACTGGTAGCTTGTTTTTAACAGGCTGCCTTCCTCATTTTTTAAATGGTAAGTTTTACGTACAGAGGGGGGGGGGGATCAGAAATGGACAATGTATTTCAGAAATATCCCTTTAAGCAGAGACTTGAATAGTAGTTCTCCAGTAGCTTGAAAGACACTCACAAGGAAAAGATGTGGATTTATTTTCCATAGAAGCTGAAAATAAAACAAGAATCAGAGGAAGATCCCAAGTTGAAAGGAAGAGAAATTGTCTGATTAATAAGAAGTGGAATTTAGTCTGCCTCCTGGAGTTGTGAGTGCTCCTCATTGGTTTTCTGTGCTTGCACACCTGTTCATTTGGAATGGGATGACAATTGCTACTTTGGGTAGGGATTGAACTAGAAAATGTCTAAGGTCTCTTTTGAATCTATCATTCTATGAATATACATATTTGAAGTACATTTTGTGTAAGAGGCAGAGAGCCCCAAGCATTTGGATCTAACATGAGAAAAGGGCTGCTTCCAATCTGGTGTGGGCACATTCACTATGCCAATGTTTCTCAACATTATCAATTTTAAGATTTGTTGACTTCAACTCCCAGATTTCCCCATATTAAAGTTTTTATATACATTCTTTGTGTTTCTTCCTATATTTTTAATATTTTATTTGCATGAATATCAGTTTTAACCCGATTGTATTAATAAGGTGAGCAAACATGTTAGAATTGAAGGTTCTAAAATTCTTCCACCGGGATTCCTTGCCACTTTTCCACTCTTTAAGGACCTTGTATTTTATTATATGCCATAGCAGAAATTGGTTTATGTAACTTACAAAAGTCTCTTTCTATAAGA